CCCCCCCAGGACAACTCTGGCCACAATTCTAAATACTTCACCAGGGTCATGAACATGGGGACGTGGCTAGGATTGAGTTAACTTCATCTTTCTTTTCGCCCCCCCCCCTTTGCATTTCACGTGCTAATATTAGCACTGTCATAGCAATATCATGTATGTTGAGCAGATAGATTTGGCTAAAGCAGTGTTTGGGGTTCATTGATGGTGTCTGATACATTGAGGACTGCATAGCTAAATTAGGAGAACTAATAGCTGTATGTATTCAGCTGATGTACGATAGTAATAACTAACTGTTCTTTGTGCTGGGTGTTATTTATTGCACCAATATAGGACACATAACATTATTATACAGTGCTACAGCTCCACCCAGCTGAATGGCACAAAATGGAACTGGTTTGTGATCTAGATCTCTGCTTAAAGTAACTCCCAAACTTGGAGGAGATGAGAAAAATTTATTGACCTTTGTTATTTTAGCACGTATGTATCTAAAAAATCTTCTTCAGTCTCTGCAGTCGAGCTTAAGCTCACAATTACATTTGAACATGTAATTGATGACTGTTGCATGTTGACTTCATTGTGACTTTTCCCACTCAGAATTAATTGTGTCTTCCAGACCCCTCCTCAACCAGTCCAGTGCTTAACTAATGTCAATGATTTAGGGGTTTTTATTATTCTGCTGCTTAACCTAGTCATGCTTTCTTTGAGGGTTATATAGATAAATAGTCCAATGTGTCGCTTTGAAGGAGGAAGAGATATAGGACATCTCCAAGCAACTAGAAATGACTGCAGAGACCGTCCGCCTCTTGAGGAAAGATCTCAGTAAAGCAAAGGTACACATTGTGCATTCACTACCTGCAGTTAGCTTCTGTTTCCACTGCCACCTGGAGACATGATTAGCCATGGCTCCAGCATAGCCTTCCAGCCCAGAGCAGGAATTTGCCTTTTTGTTTCCTTCTCTTGCTGTCACAACTCTGTTTTTATCAATGAGAATGAGCTATGGCACCAGCTGTACTAACTCCTGTCTTGGCTGGCACAAAAGCCACTGGAGTTGTGCATTGTTGCCTTGTTCTGCCTACCCCAGGAGTAGCCTGAATGTTTCTGGAACTCTTAGATGCAAAATGCAAATCATAAAGAGGGAATACTGATCTTTCTAAGTTGTCAGGCCAAGACTGCTGGCCATAAAATAGTCAAGATCCTTAACATGCCCAAAATCTCATTGCAGGTAATGCAGGATAGTGTCAAATATATTTTATTCCTTTGAATAAAGGTAGCTGTTACTGGTCTGCAGGGGTCAGTCAAAGAGCACGTTAGATGGGGCAGTAGCGTCTCATATTCCACACATCTTTTCTAACAACACAATGAAGTCCATGTTTTCTGCCTTTCAGGAATATGCATCTCAGATCAAAAGCCAGATTACTAAGATTTCTGTTGCATGAAGGAATATGTTGAAAAACAGGAGAGAAACACACTGATGTTCATTGAACAAGAGCAAAAAGCAGCTCAACAGAAAATTGAAGAGACTATTCACCAGCTCTGTGTTGAAGTGAACAAGTTCACAGACATCAAAGCCCAAACGGTAAGTGATGAAATGAAGTGGCAGAATATGAGTAGAAGCTCTTAAGCTAAATGTGTTGGATAGCTGAAGATGTACAGAGCACTTTCAGGTCCTCACTGCACTATTCTCACTAAAGACAATGATACCAATCCACAGACATTGCTGTTACCGGGGAAAGTTCGGAGTGAGAAATTCAGAGGGGAAAAGTACTAAAAAAGGCATAGGCTGGGGATGCAATTCAGAACTAGATTTGTTCCAAGGATGTTGGTGAGCTGGAGTGAAGTGGGGACTGCATTGCTTAAATCCAGTCCTGAGTCAAATCTGAGGTTAAGATAAGATCCTTTATTATCTTTTTCTTTTCCAGAATATGTATATACACATATGTATGCAAGTTAAAGAACTCACAAAGTTATTAAGTACTTTCTAAAAACTTTCTTGGGGAAAATATGTCAAGGGCTCTCAAAAGAGGCAGTTAAAGCACTTTAAATTCTGCAGAGCCCGTTTTGATGTTGAAAACAACAATTCCAGTGATGCAAATTAGCTAGCAGGAATCTGGAGTGGGGCTCGCTGGGTGTGACGGTGCCAGGAGACAGAAGTAGACTTCCAGGGCCAAGGCACAGGGGCCTACACTGGAATTCACCTCCTGTAACTATGTATTTATATCTGATCCAGAGTCCCGTTACAGGCAATGAAGAGAAATGGGTACCTTTACATCGTGAGTCATCTGGCCTACTTGAGACACCTACCTGCAAATGAGATTAATCAAGCCTTCAAAATGCCTGTTTCTTTCCACAGACTATAAAGGCAGACTAAGAGAACAAGCTCAAATGTAGATTTCCACAATTTCTAAATTTAGGCAAATGAGGCTTACCCTTTCGTGGGTATTTTATGCTAGATCTCATACTAACACATTTTAAAACTTTTGGTTTGGGTTCTAGAACAAGAAGAAAGTTTAAAAAGAGAAAGTTTGCATATACATATATACACTTAAGGAAATTGTAATACATGTAAGAAAAATTAGTCCCATTCTTAGTTTTCTCAAGGAAAACAAATTATTTTATTTTTTATTATGAATAAACTATCCTTTCATAATTTCTGTAAGATTTCAGGTTAGTTCTCTCAGATAACTCTCCTACAAAGGAAGCTCTCAATACAAAGAATAAGATTTTAGAGAGATCACTGCTGTTTTCCCACTCTGGCTCTATAATATAATCTGATATGCTAGATGCAATAACCGCTATTGTTTACATCTTCCCCTTGATTCTTTTATGTCATTATTAGAGTAACTTACCTGAGAGACATAGGTACAAAGGCTCACCTTCAACAATGAATAAAATTACACTTGATGAGAAGCTTAATGTTGTCAAAAGTGCTGTAGGAGATCTTAACAGAAAGTTGGAAATTTTACTTCTGGAGAAATAAGCTCAGCAGTTCCCACCAGGTGAGTTTTTCTTATTTTGAAATCTCTTTGTCGTGGTTTAACCCCAGTCGGCAACTGAGCACCACACAGCCGCTTGCTCACCCTCCCCCCCCCAGGGGTGGATGGGGGGAGAGAATTGGAACAGTAAAAGTGAAAAAAAAAAACCTCATGGGTTGAAATAAGAGAAGTTTAATAATTGAAATAAAATAATAATAAAAAATTGTAATGAAAAGGAAAACAAGAAGAGAGAGAAAGAAAGGAACAAAACCCAGGAAGAATAAGTGATGCAACCACTCACTACCTGCCAACCAACAGCTAGTCCCTGAGCAGCGATCACTGCCCCCCACGCATCCTGGCTCTGCCCCCTCCCAGCTTCTTGTGCACCTCCTCGCTGGCAGAGCACGGGAAGCTGAAAAGTCCTTGACTAGTGTAAGCACTGCTCAGCAACAACGAAAACATCAGTGTGTTATCAACATTATTCTCAGCTAAATCCAAAACACAGCACTGTACCAGCTACTAGGAGGAAAACTAACTCTATCCCAGCCAAAACCAGGACACTTTTTTTTTTGAGGGACTGGATCTAGCAGGGTCCTGCATGTGACCTCCCTCAACTCAGTCCCTTGCATGGGGGATTGGACTGCTGTAATTTGACACTACTTTGACCCCACACTAAAGATTTGTATGAAAGAACTATTCTTACAAACAGGTAGGTCTGTAACTTTGGAAAACAAACTAAAAACTTCAGAGAAAACAGGTGTGCATGTGTGTGCTTATTATAAAACCCCCTGCAGTTTTAGAGACAACATGATTACTTTATACTTCTTCATGGGAGCCCAAAAGAAGAGAACTGACTGACATGCAGATCAGTAACGGAGAATGAAACATAATCCATTTAAATATGTTTTTCTAAATATAGAGTAATGTAACAGCAAAGTCTTTGCTAAGAGCAGACATAAAATTACCTCCCACCAAAAGCTGTGTCTAAGCAAAGCTTTAGATCTGGTATGGCCTTTGCCATGGAGTTCTCCTCCTCCCAGCACCGTCTCTCTGCTGTAGAAAGACCACTGAGTGTTTCTGAGAGCAACTTAAGACTGACCTAAAGCCACACTGCGGCTGAGGGGCAATCCTCCCCTTCCCACCCTTTCCAACACTACCCGCCTTTTTCAAGCCCTGGTTCTCAAAAACTCCAGGTACTTATTCATAGTTTTACCTCAGGGTTTTTCTTATCTCGATCATTTCAGCAACTGAGTTTACAGCTTTGCTCCACGATCATTTTTACTAGCAAAACCAAGGAATCAGTGGGCAGAGGTGTGGGGCAGGAACTTTTAAGGATGGCTTTCATGTTGAAGCCAATGTATTATGTAACTATACCAGAAAGTGTCTGCAAATGAGTCTTGTAAATATGCACTACAATGTCATAGAAAATTAGAAACAGACCTTAACGCTGTAGGGCTGAATGTCAGGCTTTTTGGTCAGCAATTAGAGTAAAAAATTACGTTGTGCTTACAAAATGCACGTGCAATTAACACAAGAAACACGATACTCAGAAAAAAATGAACACTGTAAACACTTTTATGACAGAAACTGGCTTATCTGCATAGAAAGATCCAACTGCTTTACCCATCTAACTTTTCTGACTGCTCCATTCTGACCACACTTGGGGCAGCAGCATACAGTGTTTTGTTAATTTTGGGTAAAAATGTTTGCCTACACATTCTTTGATAATTTATACAATCAAAAAAGCAACTGTTTGTACTTTAACCATTAGCTAGGTTTATTTTATGTATGTTTTCCTTTAGAAGCATAAATAATTCCTATTTACATTTTGAAGAAGTGCCTTAACACTTCAATTTTTTCATATTTAGTGCAACCTCCAGACTTGTATCAGGAGACAAGTGTCTGCTCAATATCTCCAGAGTCTGCAGCTAAAAACCCAGAACCAATCATTTCAAGCCAGTTTTCTCAGTGTAAGTATGCAAGCCAGCGTGACTCTTCAATAACAATATTCAAGTGATTATGAGACTGTGGATTTGCTGAAGAAAACGGCTTTTAAACATCGGCAGGAGATCTGGCTGTTTACCTGAAGCATAGAAACACAATGAAGTTACCGTGATTTAATCAGTTACTGCAGCATAATGCAATACTACACCTGACTGCATATGCAAGATAAAAAGGATAAGAAACCTGTTTCATGGAGGTATATAAGCTGTGCTGTAGCTTGTGCTGGCTGCAGAGTCCGAGTTGATGTATGGACAGTTATCACACCTTACTGATCTTTACTGTGTTAAGCCGTAATGGCTCCATTTGTTGTCTGAATTCTGCATCACTTTTACAGAAATATTTTTACAGTCAACACACAGTACTACAGCTGTAGCTTAAAACACAAAACAAATGTTTTTGCTGATAAAATATGCAAGAACATGTCCCAGTGAACAGACGACTATGTAAGTTTTATTAAGGTAAGCATCCCATTTATTATCGGCAAAAGGGTAATTTTTTTTATAAGATTGTGGTTAGGAATAAGATCCATCTTGTAGGTCGCCAAGTACCTTCACCTTCCCACTGGAGTGCATGAGTCTGTCATGGAGCTACAAAAGAAGACCATGTCATTTTACTCCATCACTGACAAGGAAATGCTTTTGCATACATTTGAAATCAATACCTCAAATCCTCTTTACCCTGCTTTCTGGCTATATAGTCTAGAAAGAAATGGATCTTTAACTATAAGTCATACAAACAGGAGGTAAAGCCTGTTCAGAAAAGAGACAATTTTGGCTATGACTGCAGAGCTTCTATAGTGTTTAGCACAGGAATGTACCAAGGAGTGTATAGCTACCTAGGCTTTCCTGGAAATCAGCAACTGATACTTTCTCTGCTCTGCTTTTCTTCATGCTGTGCTCTGATGTAGCCATATTTCATTAAAGCAATTCCAGTGTATGCTAAAGGTGGTAACCATCCCTGTGGGAGTGAGGTGGATTTCTTAAGCAGCTTTAAATAGTCCCAGGATATTCCTAGGAAGGAATGCACCAAGGAAGCTCTGAGGTTGGAGGTAAGCCCTTCCCATGGACCTCATTTTCCTACATTGATCCAAAAATTATATGAGATGCCATTTCATTCTGTCAAGTGAGCTTTCTTTAGAAAGATCTGATTGAGTAAGGAATGCTCAGAGGGCAAGAATGTTACTGATGTCATGCATTAAAATCTTTCTCTTTAGAGCAGATACTAAACTACAGGAAATAGGCTTTGTATTTGAGGACCTGACACTTCACGGAGGTCTCCCAGAAGAACATCATCTCACTGGCACCGTATCTTGTTTTAGTCTTGCCCAGGCCAAACGGTTGTCAATCCTGGTGGTGGTGTGACCCTGGGAATAGTTTTGGAAGCAGATGTTTTCAAATGTGTTTGTACCAGCTAATAAATCATGCGGTCACTTTATTGCTCTTTTAAAGAGCCAGCAAATAGGACTGTGTCATGGAAAGGACCATCTTTTCTTGCAGGGAGCCTGAGGAAACAAGAGGTTCTATGAGTTTCCTTGCCAGCATACAGGCAATGTTTCTGCCCTTGTTTGTTGCATCTTCTGGCTGTAGGGAGGTCCCTGTTGCCTGTGTGGGGTGAAGGGGCCAGAGCTGAGATCCTGCAAAAACCTGACAGCTGAATTTCTGAGAGGAGCACGTGCAGGCAAAGCAAAAACAGAGTTCCCAAGAAGCAAAGGCTTTTTCAGGAAGACAGTGGCATTCCAGAATGAACAAAATAAGAAGTTTAATGTGAGTAAAGCATGCGGGATTCAACTAGCTCATTTAGCCAAATGGATCTCCGTGGCTTTTAAAGTCATTGACAGAACTGGTGGTAATCTTCAAGCTTACTCACTGAACACTCTGAAAGCACTTTGGACTAAATGCACATTTGTAAGATCCCAGAAGTGTGTGTATCAGCTTCCACAAGGCTGGGGGATAGCGCTCTCCCGCTGTTGCCAACAGCGTAACGCATAGCTAATGCTGCTGCCTCTGGCTAGGACTGAGGCGTCCCTTCCTGGTCCATCTGGAAAAAGAACAGTGACAGCATGATGAACTCACTGGGCACCTGTAATTTTCCACATACAAGTTGCGCCGTACTGCCCAGGAGCAGCAATTTGTTACGGTTTGGATCATAAATTACCACACAATTTCAGAGGGAGCGCGTTGTCTCGCTTCTGATGTGTTCCTGTGCGTCGGATGCACTCACTCGGCTGGCGCACCGCTGCAGCCCGCACCGTTTCATTACAGTACGTGAACTCTGCATCATGGCTCCTTAATGGCAGAACACTGAGTCACCGCCCCAGGGGAGCCCAGAGCAGAGGGGGACAGACGCCCACCAGCCCGGTGCCTGCTGTATTTCCCGCCCGGGCTCT